TCCAGTGTTTAACCACCCTGACAGGCAGGAAGTTTTTCTTAATGTCCAACCTAAACCTCCCTTGCTGCAGTTTAAGCCCATTGCTTCTTGTTCTATCCTCAGAGGCCACGGAGAACAATTTGTTTCCCTCCTCCTTGTGACACCCTTTTAGATACTTGAAAACCACCATCATGTCCCCTCTTAGTCATCTCTTTTCCAAACTAAACAAGCCCCGTTCTTTCAGCCTTTCCTCACGGCTCATGTTCTCTAGACCTCCCATCATTCTTGTTGCTCTTCTCTGGACCCTCTCCCTTCTTGAAATGCGGTGCCCAGAACTGGACACAACACGCCAACTGAGGCCTAACCAGCGCAGAGTAGAGCGGAAGAATGACTCCTCGTGTCTCGCTCACAACACTCCTGTCAATGCATCCCAGAATCATGTTGGCTTTTTTGGCAACAGCGTCACCCTGTTGACTCATATTTAGCTTGGGACCTACTCTGACCCCTAGATGTTATGCTTATAAGAAGCACACGGGCTTTTTTATTTATTGAGAATACAGTAGAGAAGCAGTTAGCATCTGTTTTATAAAGACAAGCCCTTCTCCCCCTCCCCCCCCACACACAAACACAGCTCCTGCAGAGGCTCTATAGTTACCAGTCATGGCTCAAGTCCATCTTGCTGGCCAGCCCAGGCTGACTGAGTGAGGACTCAGCTTCCTCTGAGACTCCTCTCAGGGTTGGCTTGCAGGACTGAACCCCAAGTCCCACAGCAAGATCTTCCCTTCTTATCCATGTCAGCTCCCATTGGGGACTATGGGTTTTGCAGTGTCATGCTGCCGTCATCCGCCCTTAGGAGAATCTGTGTTCTCCAGAGTTCCCCGTTAATGGGGATTGTCAGGCTGCCCATTCTTGTCTCACTCTTAGGGGTCTCTGCCTGCCTCCAGGGTTCGTCAATGCTGCTAATTCAATTCATCCTCAAGACACAAGGGATGTTTCCTCCTGATCTTCAAGATTCCCACTTCTTCTTGATCACCTGGGCATCTGTGCTGGCTGCCACACTCACACCCCCCCTCCACTCCCACCACACAAGTGTGCAGAGTTTCAGACAAGATCAATAGATACTAGAAGACACAACTTAATTGGTGATGCACACAAGGGGTACAACTTCATTTTTAATGCTAGCAGGGAGCAAGGCCTTACAGTAACACGATCTAATCATGAGAGACAGAGAGAAATAGAAGCTACAGAACTTACAAGCAAGCCATTATCCATCAAATTATACATCATACTTATAGTATTATAAACAATACTCACTAAAATAGTCATTTTTGCTACATTGATCCCTTTCTGAAGGTCTCCTTCCTAGACAATCACTTCCCATTCTGTGTGTGACACGGATTGTTCCTTCCTAAGTGGAGCACTTTGCATTTGTCCTTATTAAACTTCATCCTATTGACCTCAGTTTATATTTTGACCCAACTTCCAAAGCACTCGCCATCCCTCCCAGCTTGGTTGGTATCATCTGCGAACTTAATAAGTGAACCCTCTGTCCAATATCTAATAGTTGATGAAGATATTGAACAAAACCTGTCCCAAAACAGACCCCTGTGGAACTTCACTTGCTCTGCCCTTCCAGCAGGACTGTGAACCATTAATAACTACTCTCTGAGGGTATGTCTACACTACAAAGTTAATTCGAACTAACGGACATTAGTTCGAATTAACTTTGATAGGCGCTACACTAGCGCTCCGCTAGCTCGAACTTAATTCGAACTAGCGGAGTGCTTAGTTCGAACTAGGTAAACCTCATTGCACGAGGACTAACCCTAGTTCGAACTTACTAGTTCGAATTAAGGGGTGTGTAGCCCCTTAATTCGAACTAGTGGGAGGCTAGCCCTCCCCAGCTTGCCCTGGTGGCCACTCTGGCCAACACCAGGGAAACTCTATTGCCCCCCTCCCGGCCCTAATTCGAACTAGCGGAGTGCTTAGTTCGAACTAGGTAAACCTCATTGCACGAGGACTAACCCTAGTTCGAACTTACTAGTTCGAATTAAGGGGTGTGTAGCCCCTTAATTCGAACTAGTGGGAGGCTAGCCCTCCCCAGCTTGCCCTGGTGGCCACTCTGGCCAACACCAGGGAAACTCTATTGCCCCCCTCCCGGCCCTGGAGCTCTTAAAGGGGCACGGGCTGGTTACGGTGCCCGTGCCAGGTGCAAGCCTGCCAGCACCCAGCCAGCAGACCCTGCACCTGGCACGGTTCAAGCCACCCACCCGATGCCCCCCAGCCCTCCCCCTCTTCCCGGGACCAGGCTGGCGGC